GTGCGGTGCTTACCTGAGAGCGACGCCTTTTTGAGAGCGGTACCTATAAAATCAAATTGGCGAGGCGCTTTCCATGCCCGTTCCCATGTTACCTATTTCACGTATTCCCATAGTCTATCATAGGTCTTATCATCATAAATAAACGTTTATAAAGAAATGCTTGCCTTCATTGTATTATTTGTTCATTTTACGCTGTGTCATTGTATTTAAAACTCTGTTTCTCCGTGTTTCTACACACAGCGTAAATATAATTATACTCTCGGCGCCTAACGAAAAAAATCATGATTGGTGCGTCGCTTATTTAAGAGCGGCGTTTATTCACGAGCAGTGGTTATTCTTGCATTTACAGTATGACAAACATGTAAAATCTGTTCTAATTAAAATCAACATTTTTTAAATATGTACATCAATATGTTAACATCATTGAAAATTGTGAAACTGTAGTCCAAGGACCATAGACTTTGATTTATTTTTCAATCTGTCGATAACAAAACCTAATGTATTTAAAAAAATATAATCTATTACATTATACAATTTATAATTTTTTTAATCATCGCAATATAGCCCCTTCTATCATAGATTTATAACTAATCAAAAACACAGGAATTAAAATTTACAAGAATGACTTCTATTAGACAGTACAGTGTACAGTACTCTATAATGTTTTCAATGCCTATGGAAAAAAAAGTTACTAAATAATATGGCGACTGACACAAAAATATTTGTCCACCCTCTTTTGTTCTTACTGTATATATGGCCACACTTTATCTTATTTGTACATTCACCAAGACCACTGCGTGGTAAAAGCTTGTGATTAAATGAATTTGTTAGTCTGAAATGTGCTGTTTGTCCTTCATTTAAAAATATTCATGAAATGACCATAATAATAATTAATTAATAATATATTAATTTAGAGTACAAAGCAGCATGTCATTTTATAATCTTCTTTTGCACAATATACTTTGTAATTAGGCACCTATTTTACAAGGAAACCAGGTTATAATTTCTGGCAGGAACATGAGGTCAACCACAGGTCACCTAAATAGTATCTTACCATCATATACTCTATAAATCACATGGGGCCAGGAAAAGGTAGAAGCATTTGACACAATCCAATAAACATTAGGGAAATTAAATATAATTTTTCCAACTAGGTATTAATTAAATTATCAAATTGATTCATAAATTAAGATGAGTTCAATTTAATCAACGTATCGCTTGCTTTGTTTGATGTAACCTAAATTAAGGGTCATCATATAAGAGTAGAAATACTGACATAGCTGCTTTTACAGAAACTAAGAATTTTGTTATACCAGTAATATTAATAACAATATTTCACAGTGTTTGGGTCACAAGAAAATAAACGTTTTGAAATTCAAACTGATAAATCATTATATTTAGGAACATTGTATTTAGGAATACAGTAGTTCTGATATATTGTACTATGTATCATGTTAATTTCAGACAAAAGGTATTAAAATATTTGATTCTTATATTTTTAATAAAGCCAATGTGTTAAGAGTGGAGTTGAATAGCTTGGTTGTTAAGATGCTTGCCTTCCAATCCCAGGCTCCTGTCACACCATTTTTTTCTCAACCAAAAACAATTCTACAACTCTCTAATAAACCTCATAATGAGACTTTAGTTAATGTAGATGAGAGCACCTTGTGTTTATATTTGTCTTATGAAGGGATATGCCACTTTAAAAAGTGATTAAGTCACTGTTTGGCATACTGTATAATCGTTGGTCTTGGGCCTAAAACAACAGGGGAAAAAAGTGTGTGGTGAAATCTGGAAAAACCTAAAAATATGCAATTTTAAGAATGGACAATACTTCAGTATAGAGTATACAATAAAAGAAATTATTGTAGGAACAAAATAAATAAAATTGAAAAAAAAGACTATCATTTTGGCATATAAAAGCTATTTTGTTTTCTTTGGATTAGAATAGAAGGAAAATAAACCATCAATACAAAATTCAAACTTAATAATGGATTTTTTCTATAAAAAAAATATGATGAACAAGGAGAAATTTGTTTTTGAAAAACATGTACTGTAGCTTGGGTGTGAATAGGCAGCTTCCTTTGTAGCAGTGTACTTTGATTCTTAACAGCTGCCAGAAATATATGTGGTTTCAATAAAATAATATTCCACTGCCATGGGTTGAAGTTCAGTTCAATGCTAATTTGCATAAAATGTAAATTATTCTATTTTGGTCTTTCTCTATGATTTGATACATAGCATTGATGCCTCATTACTTGTGAACATTAACAGAATCCATAACAGAAATGAAACTAAGATGAGGTGTACAGAAAGTTATAAGGTTACCATACTTTATTTGAATCACTATTTTGTTTAAGTACTGTGAACTTCATCATGTGACCAGGAAATAACATGGTACTTGATGAGAATGAGATACCAAGGTGTGAATAAAATAAGGGGGGGAGCAGCCCAGATCTCCTTACATTTAATTGCTTTAACAGCCAAATTTATTGGCTCCATAAAAAAACACAATCTGCCATAGATGGCAAAGTAATAAAATGCATTTTATGCTGTTTGCAAGGCAACATTTGGCAATCATTAACATGATACATTTTTTCTGTTTTCAATTTGTTTTCACTCAGTATTTCTGGGATAGAATGTTTCACGTTCTTTCCTCAATATATTTTGAGCTGATTTTTCTTTAAAGTTAAAACATTCAAATACTTCAGCAGAAATTTATACATACTTAAACAATTTGTGTGTATCCATGCCTGTCGGAGGCATTGATCTCCACTATAATAGCTGGATTGCTTGCGCTTTGTACTGTTAGCTACGTCTTGTTTTAGCCCTTTGAACATGGGTTTCTATGTGCATGATACAGCGCTTTGTTACCGCGAGGAAAAGACACAATATAAATGACCACTAATCATTATTATTCTATTTTTCAAAAAACCAATTTAAGAAATATTTGTTTAATTTCTATAGGCCTTAAAATTGAATATTGCCCGACATCCTGGTTTTATTAAGTAAAGTTGTAATTTTACTTTAAGAGCACATTTTTTAAATTTTAATCAAACAAAAAAAAAATCTGTCATAAATGATGCTATTCTTCATCATTTCAAATGTATAGGAAACAATTATAAATTAGCATAATCACTTTGATAATCAATCATTGTTATACTGGTGAATGAATATGAATTTACAAAGAAAGACAATACCTGAACTATTAGTCATCCTACACACTAAGCTTTCTTTAGAAGCTATGTTGTAGTTTGTATTAAGTTACATGTTTTAACCATACTGTTTACTGATAATTTCTTAGTTTTTATATTATTTGCTTTTTAGTCGATTTCACTGAATTTATGGGCCTATAAATTATTTTTTATATTTGTAGGTTTTGTTTAATAGAGTTTACATTTATGCATTTTGCAATTTTGTTTATGAAAATGAAACCATCAGAACTATTTCATGCTAGATTGTCTACATGGCTGATCTACAATGCATTAGAGTTAGTTACAGTACCTGGGAATAATATAAAGCACTTTGTTTCTTTAAATGATCAAACACAACAAACTTGATGATGAGTAACAAAAAAAATTAGTTGACTAAAATATTAACAGGAACACAATTTGAAAACTATATTCAAATTGATATTGTTATTATAAAGCATTTTGTTTTGTTTTTCTGTTTATTCGTATGGAAAGTGGGAGCTGGAACACTACAATTTATTATAAGAACTCTAGTAAAATTTTGCCCAAACTCCCCATGTACTTTTTTTTTTTTGCCAATTTCAGGCTCAAAAATTTTTTTATTAGGCCAAATAAAAAAAGTAGTTTCTCGTCCTAATATTTTGAAAAAAAAACAAACGAGGACACTTTTTTTCCCTTTTTTTTTCACTCAGAGATCGCAAATCCAAGATGGTTGATGGGAAACAGCTTCTACAGTACTTTCTCACTTTTACCAGGTAGACACATTAAAAGCAAATAAAGAAGCAGTAGACATGATTCAAACCAAAAGTATCCCCAACCACCAACTATCATGAGAGAATTTTTCTGATATGAGTTAGCCAGACTTAAGTAAAATTAAGGAAATAAAAAAAAGTTAAAAAAAAAATTAAAAATTGGAGAGGCTAAGAAAATAGATGTACGAGGAGATGAGAAACTATTTTTTTTTAATTTGGCCATATGTTCTTATTTTACACACTTTTCATAGCGTGAAAATTATTATTGGGGGAAATTATGTATTTCAGCACAAGCTTAACCCAGTCTTTTGTGTCATTATCTGACAACTTCAGATTATATAAATATAGTCTATCTGATAGAGTACATTTATGTAATGTAATGTATCTCATACATTAATAGACTTGATATGTTGATATTTATACCTTTTCAAACACTATACTGTATGTGACTACCTTGATTTGTTTTTTTTATTAATACTAAACATCATTTGATATTTTACCTTAGCATCAATTTCTTCTAATTTTGTTTGTATTTTTTTGTATTTTTTTAACATTTTCGGCCGTGTTAAAATCTTAAAATCTGTTCTTTAAAAAAACATGTATGGCAAGAATGGTGTCAGATGCTTTACATTACATTTACATACATTAATAGACTTGATATGTTGATATTTATACCTTTTCAAACACTATACTGTATGTGACTACCTTGATTTGTTTTTTTTATTAATACTAAACATTATTTGATATTTTACCTTAGCATCAATTTCTTCTTCTTTTCTTTCTTTCTTTCTGTATTTTTTTGTATTTTTTAAACATTTTCGGCCGTGTTAAAATCTTAAAATCTGTTCTTTAAAAAAACATGTATGGCAAGAATGGTGTCAGATGCTTTACATTACATCGAAAAAAGGTGTGATTATTAATAATGTGTGGAACAAAATTTTATTTTCTTTTAAATCATCAGTTTCAATCCAACAATGGGCATTTTTGTATCCATTTACCTATGGCAAACTTTGATTCTCACAAAAAGAGGGGTTTAAAGGAAGGAACGTGACCTTACCCTGAAACATCATTTCAATATGTAGCTGGCCGTCCATGGTCTTATTGTGCCACAATGAAACGCATGTTTCTTTCTCGTGAGTACACTTTACTGTCTTGTTGTCCGCTTGGAGAGTTCCAACATCTGCATCGTATTCCCCAAGATATTCAGGATTCTTGTAATAAGCACAAAATTTCTCCTCTGAAAATGCTATATTTGGTATGAAGAAAAGTATGAATAAATACATCATTTATTTTTAATTTAGAAAATATAAAAATATTAATGACTTGTTTTTTCCAAGTTACTAGTTACTATTTTAAGAATCAAGGCCAGAATTTAAAATATTTTCCCAACCCCACTTCAACCCCAACAATCCCCTACCCCAGCAGCATTTCCAATCTTCAATGATTGATTAGCACATTCAGTAGAAGATTTTTTTTTAAAATTATTAATCCTTCAGAATATCTACTCAAAGAGACTCAGATACTAAACATAAAGTTAACGCTATGAAAATTAAATAATCTGTAGAATAATTTCCAGCTAATTATTGTAAATTTGGAATTATAATCAGTTTAATGCATTGAAAAAAGATTTAATACTATTGGTTAATAAAAAAAAAAGCTGTGAAAATGTATACCTCATTATGGAGTTTGTGAATATGATCTCTTTCAGCATATGGAAAATATCATGTAAATTGTAAAGGTGTGTTAAAAGCTTCGTGAGTGATAAAGATAATCATACAGTAGGTCAAAAAAATGTATTCTAATTTTGTGGTACAATAAGGTAATTTCACCTTCCCTTTAGTGCAAATGATTTTTTTTCCTGTATTCCTAATATGGTAAAATGCAACAAATCATAATTCTCAAGAGAGTCATGCATATATGCATTACTAATTGGTTTTAAGCAGCATCACTAGATAAGATGCTACTGTACATTATTATAACCAGTATTATGACCAATTGCAAGTGGATATTGTTAGATTTAATACGTATTATTTATGTATGCATTCAACAATCATGTGAGACTGAGGCTATTTTAGCAAGAGCTGATCATTTAGGGTGGCATAATTAAATTTGTTAACAATCCATAGGTGATTTTAGTACAATATGGTACCCCTGGTGGAAATGGGGTCTGGGTTGTCGGACATTGCCCTGGTAGAGAACTTCAGTATAACATCCATTAAAAAGGTCAATGTGATTATTTAAGGTAAAAGTTTACATAAAATTAATATTATATACAAAAAAAATATTAAAATACTATAAATTATATGAGACCTACTGTATCCATACAGAATGTCATTGCATGATTAATCAACAACATGCAAAGAATTGTTGACTAATAAAAAGAATGATCTGAATTATTTTGACTGGCACTTGGCATGTTCATGTTAACAAAAAATGTGCTTACCCATGGCAATAGGCAGTATAAGCCAGAGTAACTGTTGTAGATTAATACAGCCTGCCATAATGTATGAATCATGTACTGTCTGTCTTTCCAGTAAAATTATGGAATCCTCCTTTGGTTTCTGAAAGAAATAAAATGCACATTATACAACAGATGAATCATACAGTACTGTACACTACCCATAGACAGAGATCATGATCGCAAACATTAACTATTCCAATACCCTACAGGTATGCCATGACTGCAGAATTTTCTTTTCAAATGTGTTTTATTATGTTCCAAACTATCCACAAACCACAGGAGAGCCTTCTGGAAAATGACACCGTCTCCCGCACTCATGTGTTAATACTACAATGGACTATTATTGTCTCCCCGAAACTAGCTCAATGGCCATGGCAATACCACACTCATTTAGCAAAAAATTTGTTGATGCGACAACATTAAACCAGATCTCCCCAGCCCAAAATGAATTCCCGAACTTGGGACTCCAGCTCATATCATACTATATGTAACTTGACATTTTTCGGGGTTTTCCACATTTTACAATCACACTCAAGTCAGTTTATTACCCAATTATATTAGTGGCTACAGCCCAAAAGTGAATTCCCGAACTTGGGACTCCAGCTCATATCATACTATATGTAACTTGACATTTTTCGGGGTTTTCCACATTTTACAATCACACTCAAGTCAGTTTATTACCCAATTATAGTAGTGGCTACAGCCCAAAAGTGAATTCCCGAACTTGGGACTCCAGCTCATATCATACTATATGTAACTTGACATTTTTCGGGGTTTTCCACATTTTACAATCACACTCGTCAGTTTAATACCCAATTATAGTAGTGGCTACAGTATCATTAGGATACAAAACAACTGAAGACCTAATGGTTGTTTGTGTATTCTTTAATATAATCTGAGTAGTCCTTTAGTTGTAATTTAGACAGAAGGTGTTAAGAAAAATTGAATAAAAACCCACAGCCTCCAAATGCATTGTTTTCTTTCTTAAGCACTGTCTATTACAGTAAGATCAAAAGGACACAGAACAATGAACTCATGTCACTAACACTTGTTTTTTAGCCAATAAAAAGTCATTTAAAAGGGGGACATCCCAGAATAATTTTGATTGACATGAACTCAATAAATTATATAGTTGAATCCCTCATAGTAAACAATTAACATCCTTTGTAGTACAGCCAGATGCAAGAATCTTGCCCAGGGTAGCTTAAAATATTCAGGGTTCATATAGCTTATGCAGTCTCTAGCTGGAAGAATTGAAAAGTCTGCATTTTTATAGCCCATAGAAAACTAGTACAATATCACCATGAACGAAGACAGGATTATTTAAAAATGTGATCCAAAAAAATATCTTTGAAAATTGGCCGAAAAAGGCTTATCAACAACGTAAAGCACTTACAGTAGCCATTATAAAACAGCGAATTAACCAAATATGGGGCTTGCCATGCCAAAACCAGCATCAGTTACAAAAACAAGAAATTTCTTTTTATAATTCTACACATTACACTTTTTTTTAATAACAAATTTTATAAGAACACTGAGGCTGAAAATGCTTAAAAATTAAGAACAAAATAAGAACAAATTGAGGCTGAGGTAAAATGTCAAATGAGATTTTTATTTTTAAAAACTAGAAAAACTAAAAAATTATGTATGTACTTTATGTGCAGTAGATGTGACTATGTAATACCATCTATTCATTCCAGTACACTG